GACACCAAAGTAGCCACAACTCCACCCAAATTCCACAGGCGTCCCTCAGCCGACAATATGAGTAGGTGTGTTTGAAAAAAAAAAAAAAATTCATTGTTGGTCTGCCGCACCCCTGTCGCGGTCGAATCTGACCCTGAGCCGATGGCTAGCCGGCGTAACGACAGGGGATGCACTGGCAAAGGCAGACATAACAAGATGGCGCCCAAACTAAATACACCTGGGTCTACATTTTAGCAAATGTTGCCCCAGTTCGAAGCAAGTTAAAAGAGTCTTGTTGTTTGTTTTTTTTGTTGATTTGTATTCTTTATTTAGTGTTTACATGTAAATTTCAACAGCAATAGCTGCTGGCGGCCCCTGAGCCGGCAGGAAACGGTGCAACTGCCAGGTCCGTGGATGAGCTTCACTAGGGCTCAGCCCATCGTTGCCGCAGTTGCATCTTTCTTACAGCGCGGTGTAGGTTGGTAACCAGCAGAATAGGCGCAGCGAAGGAGCGAGTGTAGCAGGTCCGTGAGGGGTCTTGGTGCCCACTCATTGTTGCCCTACAGGGGGTTCCGAGGCTGGAAAGATAGAGAGTAATGTCTGTCAGGTGTTAAGTAAAGAATAGTATAGTTGCCTTATGTTTTTTTTTTTGGTGTTAGTTACCTTTTTTTTTTGTGGTTGTTTGGTAGTTCTTGTGTATGGTTGCGTAGTAGGTCCATGTCCTGTCCCAAGCGGAAAGAGCATCGTTGCCCTACGTAGCAGAGCATGGGAGCAGCAATTCGCCATAGCCCGAGCAGGATTTGAGTTTTAGTCGGCGCCTGGAAGAAATTGGGTGGTGTAAAGCGTGCGATACATATATGTTTGTTTTGGTTGTTTACCTTCTGCAGTGACAGCGTGCCGTGGTGCAGCGTCATACTGAGGATCCCCATCTCACCCTTACATGTCTGGTTATTGAGTCTGTAATTGTGAGAATCTGTTTTTATTGGTCTTATGGTCAGTTAGTGTATTAATTACCTTTTATTTATTTATTTGCGTAGCAGCAAATAAGTTGTCAATAGACAGGGAGTCCATTGTGAATGGTCCCGGCCTAGCACAGCTGTTCCTGGGCTGAACCATCGATATTAATAAGTATCGACAGGGTATTTTGGCACAGATTAGCAGGTCTGTGCATAGGGCGGGAATTTGAAGTTCAACTTATCGTTAGTTTGTTTTTTTTTTGGAGTAATATTTTCACTTAGTATTTTTTTTGTTAAGTCTTTTGGTATACATTTATTTATTCTCATTTATTTATTCTCATTTATTTATTCTCATTTATTTATTCTCATTTATTTGTTCTTATTTATTTATTATTTATTTATTTATTCCTTTTTTTGGTTGTGTGTTTGATGGTATTTCTATATATATATGCATAAGCATTTGATTGGATTAAATAATCCAACCGGTACTTAGCTAAGGATATTATCCCCGCTTATCATTTAAGAAAACACATACATACGAGTGGACCGATCTATTTATTTATTCGGAGTTTGCTCGTTTATAATATAGATATAGTTTGTTTTGATATTATAATCGGCGGGTACGGATCCGAGTACTAGCAGTGGTTTTTTTTTGGGTTTGGATTAACAAGGTACTGAGAAATGAATCTTGACCCGAATGTTACCCGGAAGGTCAGGCGGAGTCAGGAGTTTAGTAGAAATAGGCCATTGGTTCACTTGGACTCTCCTCCTCACGTAGGATTGAGTGAGGCGGGCAAGCCAGCAGAAGCACTCCATGATGACGCATCGCCGCCGAGTGTAAACGAGGCAGCGTTCCGAGGATTTGGGGATGAATTGCCGAACAGTTCCGGAGCAACAGCCGGCGCACGCGCGCATGACTATGGCGGTGAAGAGCAGGGTGGCAGAGCCGAGTCTGCGCTGCCAAGCGAAATTCGGTCGGCGATCAACGTAGCATTAGCACAGGCCCACGAGACGTATCGCGCATCGTTGTCGTCAGAAGTAGAGGCCATTCGAGAGACGATGCAGGCCAGCATGCTGTCGTTCATGCGCGAGATTAATGAGGCAGTGGCAGCGCTGAGGCAGGAGAAAACGCATAGCGCGCCTCCGTCTGTAGCACAGGCGCCGGTGGGCAGGCCAGAGCGAGCTCACGCGCAAATGCAGCGGCCAGCCTTAGGCGGGTACGAGCCGGCAGAGAAAGAAAGAGATTTTGTAAGTAGTAGACCAGCAGCTGCAGCACCGACTCACCTGTTCGTCGACAACCGAATTTTAGAGGCAGAACAGCGGGCACATGTGGAGCAGCGGCAGTTCTCAGCCGATCCGTGGATGCGCGATTTGGGCCCGGACGTGCACAGGCCATTAAGGCGAACCACGATGGGAGACTCCCGGCCCGACGTCGTCCACATCAGAAAGTGGGGCCTTGTATTTGATGGCGAAACCAAAGGAATGCCGGTGGCAGAGTTTATATTTCGATTGGAGCATTTGCAGTCCTTGTATCAGGTGCCCTGGGCCGACGTGTTGCGAGACTTCCACTGCCTGGTGAACGGAAGAGCGAAAGATTGGTATTGGATGTACATACGTACCTCGGGCGTGCCGGACTGGCCGAATCTCCGATATGGGCTGCAGCAGCAATTTCAGACTCGAAGATCGGAGTTTGAACGAGAGCAGGAGCTGAGGGAGCGGAAGCAGCGGCATGGCGAGAGCATAGAAGAGTATATTCAGGCGATGCTGGTGTTGCGTTCTCGGTTGGTGTGTCCATTTTCGGATTATGACCTTATTAAGGTGATAAAGACAAATATTAAAGACACCGTGTCTAGGGTCATCTATCCGATGAATATAACGAATCTGCAGAAGCTGAGAGAGGAGTGCCAAGACGCCGAAAAGATGCTGGCAACGCGTTGGGCGCGGCCCTCAGCCAGTACCAACTACGGGCAGCAGCGAGAGCAGCATCGAGTACACGAGCTGGACGTGGTAGCAGAAGGTACAGAAGGCGGCCAACTGGAGCATTTGGAGGCGGTATATAGGCCACATGAAACTGGTGGGAGCCGCTCGAATCTCAAGTGTTGGAATTGTGCACAACCAGGGCATACATATTTCGATTGCGAGTCTGCGGTGCGCAATATGTTTTGCTTCAAATGCGGACAACCAGGCGTGGTGCTGCCAATATGCCCGAAATGCCGTCCGGGAAACTCGGAGAGGAGTCCGACGCAGCCGGAGGAGTCGCACTCTCGGTAGACGGTGAAACGCGTACCTCCGATGAAACTGTAGTTAGGATAGGAATTAGTAGCGATAAGGATAGTACCGTTAGTCATATTTACTCACAGATATATAAAGTCAACCAGGCAGTCCCACCGAAGAAAGTATGGTCGCAGCGGAAACCCTTGGAGCAGCGTCAGCGCGACTATGAAGTAGCCAGGAACCGCATATTTGGTAGCCAGCACGAACCGGATGCGAGAGGGGCGTCGAAGACATCCTTGCGGGCGCGTAGGAGACACCGCGAACGCCGACAGAAACGCCAGGCGGTGTGTGCCGCGGTGAATTCTGCATGTCGTTCCGACAGCCGCCCATATGCTACGGTAGCGATTGAAGGCAGAGAATTTACCGGTCTGTTGGATACCGGGGCGTCGGTGAGCTTGCTGGGAAGTGGTGCCATAGAGTCGGTCCGAAAACTAGGTTTGGTGGTACGCGAAAACAAATCCGCGGTAAGGACAGCCGGCGGCGCGCCACATTGCATTATTGGCAGCGTGATGGCGCGCGTTAGGTATAACGGAACAGAGTCGGAAATGGTATTCCACGTTTGCCCGTCGTTGTGCCAACCGCTTTATCTGGGCGTGGATTTTTGGCGCAGGTTCGGTTTGGCTCCGAATGTGATCCCGGCTGTGGACGAAGGACAGCACGTGGCTGAGTTGGAGGAGGAGCGCTTAGGAAAGAGTACACCAACGGAGCCACACGATTTAGAGGCGTGGCAACAGGAGAAGTTACAGCGAGTCGTGGCCCAATTCAGATCCTTCAAGGAGCACGGTCTGCGTAGGACGCCAGTGGAGCAGCACCACATTCAGTTGACGGAGGGGGCACTGCCAGTGAAAGAGCGTTTTTATCCCGTGTCGCCGGCAGTGCAGACGCTATTGTTTGCAGAAGTCGACGAGATGCTTCGGCTAGGGGTTATCCAGCCAAGTGAGAGTCCATGGAGCAACCGAGTGACTTTGGTGAGGAAGCCTGGAAAGAACCGGTTGTGCTTAGACGCGAGAAAGCTAAATCAGCTCACGGTGAAGGATGCTTACCCACTCCAGAGCATTGAGTCGATCTTGAGCCGAGTGGAGGATACCATTTACATCAGCAGCCTGGATCTAAAGCATGCTTTTTGGCAGATCGAACTGGATCAGGAAAGCCGGCAGTACACCGCGTTTACGGTACCAGGAAGGCCACTGTATCAATTTAAGGCCATGCCGTTCGGGTTGGGCAATGCGGCGCAGCGCCTTTGCAGGGTGATGGATAAGGTGATTCCCCAGCGTTTGAGAAGCCATGTATTCGTCTACCTGGACGACCTTCTCATAATATCCAGAACATTTGAGGATCATTGCAAGGTGCTGTTGGACGTGGCAAGTGCTTTGAAAGTAGCCAATTTGACGATTTCCTTAAAAAAATCCAAGTTCTGCTACAAGTACTTGAAGTATCTGGGGTTTGTGGTTGGCGATGGTGCGTTGCGGACGGATCCAGAGAAGGTCGAGGCGATTCGGGCGATTTCCTTGCCGACCAGCGCAAAGCAGCTCCGCCGATTCTTGGGGACCGCTGGCTGGTATAGGCGTTTCATTCGGAATTTTTCCACGATTTCCGCGCCGTTAACGGACTGCCTGAAAGGGAAGGGAAAGTTCCAATTATCGGGCGAAGCGGTTGCGGCATTTCAGGAGTTGAAAGGGGCACTCACCTGCGCGCCAGTGTTGGTGCATCCAGACTTTCGGAAACCGTTCGTGATCCAATGTGACGCGAGCCAAGCGGGCATAGGAGCGGTTTTGTTCCAACTCGATGCAGACGGGGCCGAAAGGCCGATAGCTTTTTTTTCAGCGAAGCTTCGGGGCGCTCAGCTGAACTATAGTGTCACCGAGAAGGAATGCCTGGCTGCAGTAAAAGCGGTCGAAAGATTCCGGCCGTACGTTGAGTTGATGCCGTTTAAGGTGGTGACTGATCACGCCAGCCTGCGGTGGCTGATGTCATTGAAGGAGTTGGACGGTCGATTAGCGCGGTGGTCGTTGGCCCTGCAGAGGTTCGACTTTAATATTGAGCATCGGAAAGGCAAGGAAAATATTGTAGCCGATACCCTCTCACGGCCTTTCGAACTGGAGGAAGTTGATTTTTTTGATTTCGAGACAACCGAGTTCGAAGGTGCGGAGTATACCGAGCGGCTGAAGCAAGTGCGGGAGAACGCGGAGCTATTTCCGGATTTACGCGTGGAGGATGGGCTGTTGTATAAGCGGGCGCAGTTCACGCGGCCCGAGCGAGAGGAATTTTCCTGGAAGCTCTGGGTACCGCGTCCTGTGTCCGCAGCCCTTATACAGCAGGCCCATGAGAGCGACGCGGCTATGCATGGGGGCATGAAGAGGACCATAGAACGGCTCAGGCAGTTTTTTTTCTGGCCCGGGATGGTGGCACAGGTGAGGAGGTACGTTGCCGGCTGTGAAACGTGCAAAGCAACAAAACACAGCACGCAATTAGCGAGGCCGGTAATGGGCGCCGAAACCGTATCGCTCCGACCAATGCAGAGGCTGTATCTGGATTTTCTGGGGCCGTATCCGAGGTCCAGGAGAGGGAATACCACCATTCTGGTTGTTCTTGACCATCTGTCCAAATTCGTGTGGTTGCGAGCGATGCCAAAAGCAACAGCGGCGGCAGTGGTCCGGTTTCTGCAGGAGGAGGTGTTTTCGGCATTTGGAGTCCCAGAAACCGTCCATACCGACAACGGTAAGCAATTTGTGGCCAGCCAGTTTACGGGGTTCCTGCAGGGGCTGAGCATCACCCACATACGCACGGCGAACTATGCCCCACAGGCGAATGCGGCGGAACGCGTGAACCAGACGGTGTTAGCGGCCATCAGGACATATGTACAGGGCGACCACACGAAGTGGGACGAGAAGCTCTCGGACGTGCAGTGTGCAGCACGCAGTGCTATCCATGGCAGCATCGGCACGTCCCCGTATTTCGTTTTGTTTGGGCAGCACATGTTCACCAGCGGGAAGGACTACAAGCTGGCACGCAAGTTGGGGGCGCTGGAGGATGCGGAATTGCGCATGTTGCCCAGATCGGATCAGCAGAAGGCAGTGCGGGATGAGGTACAGCAGAGTGTCCACCTGGCGTATGAAAAGGCGAAACGGCAATACGATAAGCGTGCGAGGATGGTAGCGTACGTACCTGGCCAAGAGATTTACAGGCGAGACTTTGTCCTCAGTCGTTTTAAGGACAACGTGAACGCGAAGCTGTGCCACAAGTATGTGAAATGCCGTGTCCGGAGCAGCGTGGGCAACAGCCTGTACGAGTTGGAGGACATGCACGGGCGTCGGTTGGGAGTCTTCCACGCCAAAGATTTAAAGCAGTAGCTAAGGCCCGGCTTTGTTCATCGGTAGACCAAGAGACCCATCTCGGGGTGTGGGCGGTGGCCTACGTTGGGCAGAGAAAGAACCGCGGCGCTTCTCACTCCCGTTTCTTTCGTTTGACACCAGAATAAACCCGGAGTGTGGTGTTATGTGCGGCGCGGCAGTATTGGGAAACCACAAATGTCGTCGGACAAAAGGAGTGGCAACTCGCGCGATTGACAGCTGGAGCGGGCCGATAACAAGTACTCGTGCGTGAGGGGTGAGGACCAGTGCTACCAATTAGGAGGGTTGCAAAGTGGGTAAAGTAGCAATTCCTTGGGAATGACAAGTAGTAGTTTCCGACAAGGGCAAAGGCACAGTTTTGGCAAGTGACAAAGGGACGTGCACGTGGTAGTTGGAACGCACACAGGGAAAGAAAGAAGAAAAGGAAGCAAAGTGGAAGATTTAGAACGTAGGAATAGCTGGAGCACAAGGAGAGGACGAGGAAGTATATCTTTGGGAACATCTAGGCTGAGGTAAGTCAGTCGGAAAAGAGCTATGCCAGGAAATAATATATTATTACGCATGGTAGGCGATCGGCAACCGAAGCGACGGGGGGGCCTGAAAATTGGGCTGTGGGCGGTTTGGTGAACGAGCGTAGCTTGGATGCAGGAGGGCTTCATTGTAGCCACGACAGACGAGAGCGCCAACACCGGCCGGCGACGCATCATTCTTCATGGGGCCTCAGCTTTAATTTGATTACAGCCAGCGGTGCTCGTTTGGACTCGGGCTAAGTACCCCTACGACTACCAACTTACATATATCTATACACATATGCATATTCTTTTTAAACACATACACAAAATTTATATACAGCCCACACGCACACATCCGTCATTTTCATAGCCCAATTTAAACACATACACAGAATTTATATACAGCCCACACGCACACATCCGTCATTTTCATAGCCCAATTTAAACACATACACAAAATTTATATACAGCCCACACGCACACATCCGTCATTTTCATAGCCCAATTTAAACACATACACATAATTATATAAAGCCCACCCCTACATAGTCCATTTATATACAACAAACTCAAATACACTACACCAAAAGAAAAATACACATGTATGCCATAGCCAAAATTCAAAATACACACCCATTCATATACAAGTCACATAACAATACAACACACAAAACAATTAACAATTTTCTGTTACACACATAGCCCAAACAATCACAACATAATATAAAACATTAAACAGAAACACAACACCAAACAAGTAACCATATTGTAAACAAAAATTCAAATGTATACTTAAGAAAAAAGAACATAAAAAAAAAGTAAAAGAAAAATGTATAAAATCTAATATAAGTAAAGGAGGTTGTAATGTGTATTGGAGCGGCGCAGTTTTTTTTTGTTTATCTCCTTGTCATTACATATCATTACATCCCTCATAACTACATACTCGAGTATAGGTAGGTTAGGAGGTTCGAAAATCGAATAAGATAAATAGGCACAAAGAGCCAACAAACTGCAGCGTCCCAAAACTCAATGGCCTAAATACACGAATATATTTTTATTGTAATAAAATTGAAAATTGAGCATGAATCTGGAGTAGAGTCCATTTATGGGGTGAGATGGGGTGACAAAAGTCACTGAGCAGAAGGAAAACCAAAGCAAGGACATTTAAGGGAGCCGGCAACAAAATGCCAAAACCGACTCAAGGTAGGGAGGGCCACGCGGCTACATGACACCAAAGTAGCCACAACTCCACCCAAATTCCACAGGCGTCCCTCAGCCGACAATATGAGTAGGTGTGTTTGAAAAAAAATATAAATTCACTGTTGGTCTGCCGCACCCCTGTCGCGGTCGAATCTGACCCTGAGCCGATGGCTAGCCGGCGTAACGACAGGGGATGCACTGGCAAAGGCGGACATAACAACATATATAGGTTTTGTACGTATGCAGTGGGCCATCGAACACTGTTGTTTAATTGTAATAAATAGTGTTCTATGGTTTCAAATCAAAATTTTTAAAACAACAACAACAACTTTAAGTTATTGGCTCGCAATCTTTCGTTTTGATTATTTACGGCTGTTAATTGCATAAGCAAAATGCCAAAAATTTACAGTTACCGTACACATACAAATACATTTGTATGTATGTATGTATGTGTACAGTGAACAATCGAATACAGTATTACAATCAATAACTCTCAAACGATGTTTTTCGATGTATTTGTATTCGACATGTATTACGATATATCAACACAAGTATCGATATTTTCGATATATCGCATTTAATTTTATTATTGGGGTTTTAATATTTATTCACTTTTTCAAATGAATAGTTTGTGTTATAAATGTTGTCCGATCGATGTCAAATTTGGGTAATGTAATCAACATAACTATATCAACAAATTGGCATTCAACGATTAAAATATAGCAATATGTTTTTTACTTGCCATATATCAAATATCAAATAGTTGGGAACAGTTCGTGTCTATGTGTGCCCATGCATACATACATATGTACAAGCATATGTATCTATGCCTGTATATGTATGAAGCATGTAAATACAAAACAACAACAACAACTTCAAGTTGTTGGCTTGCTCATCTTCTTTCGTTTTGACCATTTAATGTTAATTGCAAAGGCAAAACGCCAAAAGTTTACAGTTACCGTCGCTAAGCAACGACTGCGTATGCGATAGTAAAGCAGAAACCGAATAACGGAGCTACGCATATTCTGCTTCGCATTGCGGGCAGATGTGTGTATGTATATGATTTGTTTTTATCGATCTCAATAAATAATTAGATTTTATTATTTAAATATTCTGCTTATTGCATTCAAACTTCGATATTTTGATGGTATCGGTGGCTTCAACTATCGAAAGTTTTACTCTAGCAAATTGAGATGAGAATTGTCAGTGCTTTTTGATCGTGGCTCATCGCTGCACGGCATTGACACGAGTGCCGTGTTTCATATTCCGAGTTTGTGCGTGACCGTATTGACTCAAATGTGAATTTAAAATTAGGATATACCCTTATAATTATTCCCCTTTTTTGCACATAGTCTATCTTAAAACGTTGCGTTATCTCTATATATAAAACAGTTTGTCCTGACTAATTGGTGATCAACGCACAGCCCAAACGGTAAAAGATGAAATTTGGACTCAAGTATCCTTTCATAGTATCCATCATAGTGTAGGAGCACACTAAGAAAGGCTTTTGGAAAATTCTAACTCCAAAGGGGGGAGGTTTAAAAAAATATTAGTTATAGTGGTCATGTTCGTTTAAAGAAATAGTTTGGCAAGAACAAAAATGTAACGGACTACTGAACAATTTTTTGTCAAGAACAGAAAATGTTCATTTAAATACCTTAAATGCCTTCCTACTGGTAACCTTTAAGGTGAAAACATATGGGTAGGTTATGCACACACAAAATAAATACAATTGGAAACATTATATTGAGCCGGGTTAAGACGGGCAATACCTGCTAGTACTATATATATTTTCTAATTTGTGTAGCTTGCAAGATTTTCTGAGTTCTCACTTTAAGCATTACTTGGAAAAATTAATTGGAGATAAAATTTTGTAATGATTGAAAGCTCGTGGTTTCTAAGCTCGACGTGTTGACAGATTCAAATTTTAATATTTGAATTTAATACCTTAGGAGTACAGAGTTGTTATTTCTTTTGTAAGTTGCCAGACTGTCAGTAATTTCCAGAGTCTGTGTATATTTTAATTCCTCGATTTTGAATTTGCGAGTGAAGCCAGGCATAAACGTGTGTGTGCGTGTGTGTGTGTGTGTGTGTGTGTGTGAATGGACTCATCGCGACTAAGAAATGCTCAAGCGACGATGCAATGGTAATGAGTGCAATTAGTGCCCGACCATGTGGCTCGTATTCGAATGGCATGGGACAGTTGTAATCTGCAAGTTGTGGGATTATTGTGTTCCATTAATCATGTCAAAGTGTCTCAATTTATTAATACAGCGATTCCATGTCCGCAAAAGTCAAATGCGAGAGTAAAAAACTCTTTATGTTGCTATTTCAACAACTCTTTAACTTAAAATGATTTTAGTTAGATCATGAATAGCCATTTAAAACTACTACTTCTTCCACATTAGATGTTCATAAAATATTACTGGGGACACCAGTCTGGACAAAGACTAGATTGGATTCTAATCACATATAGCCCAAATATTTCTTCTCACAACTGTTTTGTCAATGATGTTGTAACCAAATTTTCTTTTTCCATATTGTCTACTGTGACCTAAAACTACTCTGGGGTTTTCTCTAATTAGGCACATCTACTATACATAACATTTTTTCATAAAAGCGAAGGCTTTGCTTGGTTGTTTGTTTGTTTTTATAAAGGGATGTCACAATATGTGTTAATTATTAAATTAAGCACTCACTTAGAATATTTACATACAATTGTATATGCA